CTCAGAAGCTGCAAGATGCACTATGGGCCTATAGAACCGCCTTCAAATCCCCTATTGGAACAACCCCTTACCAATTGGTCTATGGAAAGTCCTGTCATCTACCCTTTGAGTTAGAACACAAGGCTTATTGGGGGCATAAAGACCCTAACTTTGACTATTTAACTGTTGGAGAAAGTCGCATCCTTGATATTCATAAACCAGAAGAACTCCGCCAATCCGCCTACGAAAACACCATCATATATAAGGAAAGAACCAAGGCTTGGCATGACAAAAAGATCGTAAAGAAAGATTTCCATATAGGAGACCCTGTTCTCCTATTCAATTCTAGATTGCGACTCTTTCCTGGCAAGCTTCGTTCAAGGTGGACAGGTCCTTTTACAGTTACTAAAGTCTTAAAATCAAGAGCAGTCGAGATCCAAAGCCAGTCATGTATCCCATTCATTGTAAACGGGCAGAGATTGAAATACTACGAAGGAGGTGACATTCCCGATGATTACTCCAGCCACACCTTGATTGATCCACCACTGCCTACTTCAACCACATAGGTTCTACTCGTCAAGCTAACAACGTTAAGCAAGCGCTTCCTGGAAGGCAACCCACGGTTTTATTTACTTTTCTTTATTTATCTTTTATTTTATTTTATTTTATTTTTAAGTAATTATTATTTTGTTATGTGTCAACTAACTGTTTATGATTCTTGTACTTTTAGGTCTCGTTTTCTAAATTTTACTTGCAGGATGCAGCCTCTTGACGACATGCATGTCGCCTTTAGGGACGACAACCAGATACAGAGATACTTAGTTCTTCAGCAACGTCCTATGGCACCTACCTGGTATCCAGATCATGCCTGCATGGAAGCCTTGGGCATTGAGCCTAGCATAAGATTTCTCTGTCATCAGCTCCAGTGGGATGCATATGCTGATGAGTTACACCATACCTACAGGCACCTTACTCTGGAGTTCCTTAGCTCTTTCCTCCATGAGCTATACGTTGGTTAGGACGGAATGACCATATTCAGACTTTTCGGGATGGAGTATGCCTTTACCATGAAGGAGTTCGGTGATCTGCTCGGATTCCAGACCACCCCTGATGCTATACCTGATCTGCCGATGGGTTATTTTTTGAGTCGAGACATCGACCAATTCTGGAGTGACACTACAGGAGGAGGAGCCTCGATCCATCCACTCAGTTATCTCCAGTCATCCACAACCCAGCTTTGAGATACTCTTAGATGGTCCTGGCCCACACTTTCCTCGAAAAGGCTGACTCTGATATTCATGTTAGTGAGAAAGAGATCTTCTTCCTATTTTGTGCAAACCGGTCACGCCTAGTGGCATGTAGGAACTTCTTGCTAAATCATCTCGAGGGCACAACTAGATCCTCTGAAGAGATTATTCACGTAGGAGGCACCGTCACTTAGATAGCCACAACATTTTGAACTCATGATTTTTGTGATGAATGTGTTTATATTTTCAAAAGATCATGCTTGATTGTGTTGGTGGAGATTAATATTTTCCATATTCATCTGATTTTTCCCATGAATATTGATTCACCAACTGTCTCTGATTTGGAAATATTTTGAATTATCAATTCTGGATGTTTGACTCTTCTTGCGTAGATGTTGAGAAAACTTTTTAACTTTGAAGTGTTTGGTTTCACTTGATGATGATCCTATTTTCTTGATTTTGTTTTGAACAGGGTGATAATGAGCTTTCAATGGGTAATGGTACCAATCTTTGGAATGTCTACTCGGATTAGGCAATGACTTAAAGAAGCTTACAACATGAGAATAGGAAGTCAACAAGTACCAAAACCATTACAATGGCCACGTAATACTGATGACGAGTTCTCTTTTCTTTGAATCTTGTTTTAAGCCTTTTGAAATGTTTAACAACATAGGTGCATTTAGTGTAAAACAATGGAACAATTGCCAGTATAAACTTTATCAAACATAATTGTATGCTGATGAGAGCAAATTCCTACATAGATATTCACCGTCTTGTAGTTTAGCTCCTTTGTCAGTCTTTTTAATGTTTTGGGATATCTAATGTAGTTTTTCATTGAATCTAGTGAAACCCTTTTTCACAGGCTCCACTGCTTGATGGATAGTGAACCTCACATCTTTCACAATATATCCACCGCTACTAATAACAACATCACGAACACTCTCTCTAGTCGTCATCCCACGCTTGGCATCAACATCAGGTGAACTATGGAAGTAATGCCCATCTCAATGCAAATGATGAAATCTTGGACACTTGACTTAAACTGCAAGCCTTGTGCTATGGGACTTTTGAACAAACCAAATGTATATAGTGTAGTGATTGCCACACCTTGTCACCAAGTGAGAAACATAATTGATTTAAATGTCAAAAATTTGGCTAATGGCTTTATATGAGCTAACTCGTCCTTTGTTATAGTATAAAATTGATTGGACAAATCAGTATAGTGCCCATGACTGACTAAAATTTAGAACCACTGCCACATAACAATACCTACATCCTAATTTGAATTCTCCTTCACAGTAGACTCCAAAGGCTTCAAGGATTATGGCCAAAATAGCAGTGAAAGATTTGATGATCATATATTGAACAATACCAAATTTGACGATTTGGAAAAAGCCTGGGCCAAATTTCCATGGGTTAAGGAAGTATTTGAGAGGAAAAGGATGGTTGACAGTGTCAGAGTTGGAAGAATGGTGGAAAAGAGGAGTTTTAAAAGTAGCACGACCTTGTCTTTCTATAAACAAAAAATTCCTTGTGTCTTTTGAATTTCTTTGGAATCCACTTTGGATCATTCACAAAATTTGAAACTTGAATGTTCTTGAATCCCATGATGACTTGAATATTCTTGCACTTAATGACTTGTATTTTCAAGGAATTCCTATAAATGGTCATTCCAATTTTAGCATGCTTACTAACTTTAATCCAACCGAATTGAATCATTCGAATTCAAAACGTTATGAGGCAAATTTGCACATGACTTGTAACTTGTACCAAACCCTTTAAATAAACCCTCTTTCGTTTGGTGCCTTTGATAAAGAAATGATTTGAGAAGGATCCAGAAACCCTAATTCCAAGTATTCCATTGAAGTAATGATGAAGCATTAATCACACGCTATATCATCTTGATCTTAAAGTACCCTTGATTCACAAGCTACCAAAACCTGATGTAGCCAGAAAGTCCGTGCAAGATATATTCAAAGTGTTTATCCAAGAACGGCCCAAGAAGACAAATTTCTAAAAGTGGAGCCCGGATCCAGTAGAAACACTAGGAATACTTTGAATCAGGCGCAATTGGTCATGCCCTAAATAGCTTGACTGAGAGAACCAATACCATTCACACTTGAAATAGTTGTTCTTGCACAAACCTGTTAGTAATAAAGTATGCAAATATGCAAAATGATGCAAAAAGAGGTGGGATCTTAGGGTTAAAAATGAGTATGTGACAACCACTACTCGAGGTATCCTATCCCTAATCAACCAGCTTAAGTAGAACAATTGCCTTAGGTCCAATACATAGGCTACGGGTCAAGAATCTCTATGCATCTAACAACATGTTAATAGAGTATCTCAAATAATACGCATTAAGCAAAAGAGACAACTGGATAAAATTATAAGTGATAAGGTTCATACAAAGTTAAATCGCCATACAATGCCAATAAGGTTGAATAAAGTTCATCACACACAACCTAACTTAGAGAATTTAGCCACTCATGATAAAATTACAATACCAATTGATAAAAGATGAATAACATGTGAATTTCCTTGAAGGATTGGCTTCCAATGGCTTCCAGTGCTCTCAAAATCACTCTCTGATGCTGTAAAATCGTGCTCTAGTTCCAAATTCTGTAACCCCTGTAAAAGTGCAGAAAATCCCCTTTTAAAGCTGTCAGAACGGATCAGAACGCGTCAGAAAAAGTCTAGACATCACGTGCACTACAGAGCCATCGCGCGCACGATGTTCCTTTGGAGCTCTATCGCGTGCGTGATGGGGCGCGATGCTGCGTGTGATTATTCTCATAACTGCGTGTTTTTTCACCCCTTTTCCCCAAAATTTTCACTAAGTCACATTCTTTCATACTTTCCTCCTTTTCACTCATTCTTGGGGTGTTCTTCATCATTTTAGCTCCTCTTTTACTCGTTTTTTCTCGATTATTCAACTAATTTTATGTAATGATGGATTGCAAGCCAGTTTTGTAGGGTAGAGTTAAACTCAACCTCGTTTCTTAACAATCAAAGTCTACTATATATGGTTTTACAATACCACTAATGTGACTACCGACGTGCCATATCCTATGGGTAACTCGAACCAGACCATCATGATGGTGCCATGCCAAACTCATGACATAAAAATGCTCATACACTTTCCACATATTCATTTTTCAACTCCCCTTAAAGACTCATCGAATGCCATAAATAAATCCAGGTCGCTTTCAATAGTTTTTTGAATTGTGTTTTTATACTCGTCACTGCATCAGATAAGACACCATACGAGAAATATCCTTACTCTCATCTTTGCCATCAGAGCAACAATAGAACTTTTGGAATGTTATTTTTGAATTTGATTTAATAGAATGTTATTGTTAAATACTTATTTTAATTAGGATCATAATACTCCAATCTAACTAATTAAGAAGATATTACTCAAACACTTTCCAACTTCTTCTTGTACTTAGCAAGGAAAAAGCCAAACCGAACACTACTCCATACACACACCGACCCACCCTTAAAATCTTTTATCCTTTTCATTCTTAAAATCTATCAATCCCCATCAGAGAAATCTAGAGTCTCATAATACTATCAACCACCAATTAACTGCTGCCATTACTTTTCTTCTATACCCCCTCACTCACAGGTTACCACAATTTATTATTATTTATACAAAATTTTATAATTAATACTTTTTATCTTTTTCACAAATCAATCTCATCCACCTTTATATATTTATTCAACTCATCTTCTTCTCTGGTCAAGTCAACTCAATCCTTCAACAAAAGAATGACTTCTTTTTCACAGGGTCTTGTTTTCACTACTGCTATGGTTGTCTCAAGCACCATGCTTTATCTAGTTTTCTCGAGGCAGAAGAATAACCCAAACCCATCATTTCAAATTCAAGGAAATCATGTTCTTCGCTCTTGTTTGTGTTCAGGTAAATCACCACCTATCTCTTTTTTCACTCATCTTACTATGTCAAACACAACTTCTTTCTTACTATATGGTATGTTGTTGTTTTTTGTTCTCAGAGGAAAAGAAAACGGAGAGAAAGATGAATACGAAGAAGACTAAGAAGAAAGTTAGATTTGAAGAAAGTGTGAAGGAAGAAAGAGAGAACAAGAGTGAGGTGGTAAGGAAAGAGAAACAGAGGAAGCAAAACAGAGTATATAGCAATTGCGGAAGTGAAACGTCGAAAAGTCGTGGTATTCCGGCTAATAGAATCGCTTTGTTCAACGGAATTTTGAGAGACCGTGTTCACAGAATGGAGTGTTGTCACTGATCATCGTGATTCTCGTTGAGTGAAGGTTGGAACAGAGGAAATTCTATGAAGCTGTCGTGTATTTTTCATGCTCTGTTTTTCCTCTGTTTTTTTTTTTGTTTTTTTTTTTTGTTTTAGTTGTTTATTGTAATGTAGTTTTTGTGGTGAGGGAATTAACAGATAGACAACTTTTATGTGGTTGTGGAAACATGTTGATACAACTCATTTTGTCCTTGTAATCCAACTCAGCATTAGTTATTTGAGATTAATTTAACCTTATTTAATGTAATAATTAAAATGTTTATATAAAATGAGATTAAATTTAACCTTTTATTATCCGGTCAAATGCAAAGCAAAATAAAATAAGAAATAGGAAAAATATAGTGATGTAATGAGAGTGTAAACGTTTACACCTTCAATTAATTAGGATCATTCATTTTACCAAATTAGACTGAAAGTTTTTAACTAATTCTATCACATGACAAAATAATATATATGACAATATAATTTTTTTAATATTGTCAGTCACCATTAAATACTAAATATTTTCTTTTAAAATATTAATGTGTCTTAAATAAAAGTATTTATAAAAATAATTTTAAAAAAGTATTATAAATTTTCATAAAATTATAATAGATGAGTCTTTGAAGACGTATAACGAACAAAATTTTTCAAGATTTAATTATAATTAAATGAGGTCTAGAATCTATTTGTCAAATTAATTTGTGATTACTAAGGTCTCTATTTATCTTTTTCTTGTTAAACTGTAATTAATTTATCATGACTCCTAAAATTTGAATATTTGCGCAAAAGAAGCTAATAGAACAAAATAATTTGTATCATTAATAACAAAGTTTCAGAGGAAGGCAAGAGAGATTCAAAACAAAACTTAAATAGTTTTTTAATTTTTTTAAATTAGTGTGTTTTTTATTTTTGTTCTAGAATTTTTTTTTGGAAATAGTCTCTGAATGTTGAAATCATGTTGGTCTTAGTTCTTAAAGTTAAATCCGCAAGAAAAATTGCAATTTTATATTTATTTTTCTTGTGAATTTCAACTTTAGAGACTAAAATCAAAATGATTTTAACATTCGCTTATTCGAGAAATAGCGAGGCGTGCGCCTCCCATTCACTTTTTCATATGAGGTTTATTTAAAAATTGTGTGCGGAAGACGAATATTCGCAGTAGTGAGGCGAGCACCTCTCGCTTGCTTATTCGATGAATAATGAGACATGCACCCCCGTTCCTTTATCCAAGTTTGATTAGAGTATTTTAATCGGAAGAAAAAAATCGAGCAGTATGGTGAGCGCTAATCGTTCGCTTATTCGAGGAACAACGAGGCATGACCTCCTATTCCCTTTTTCATTCGAGGTTTATTTACGAAAAGAAAACTTGAGAATTACATTGATTTGGAAAACGATTTTAAATTGCATTGACATGAAACTAATTGGGTTTGAAAAGTCACATGTGGTTGGACCAAGGTTTTTGAAAAGTCCACCTAACATTGGACCAAGGTTTTTTTTTAAGTTTTTGAAAGTTATGTAATTATTTGTTCATTTATTTATTTAATATTACTATTTATTTATTAATTTAATTTGGAATAAATAAATAAATAATAGAGCTAATAAAAATATATAATAGAATATTTGAATGTGATAAAAATATATTTTTATCATGTCCATTCTTATAATTTAACATTATTATTTTAATCATCATAATTGGCATAAATGACTAGTAATAATGAAAATAAAAATTTAACAATGGGGCGTGCTAAATAAAAAAAAAATGTAAATAGTAAAAAAAACATGGTCCACAAGCCCATAAAAAATACAACAGCAGAAAGTAATTTAGGGGGTTGTGGATAATGATCTGGGCAAAGTCTAAAGTGAGAGCAGCCCAAATAAAGAGTCAATTACGTTGACTTCATATTGACCATACGATGAGGCTACCTTGAGCAATCGACGGAATCAAACGATCAAAGGGAAGGATAACACGCATCTTATAGGGTACAGACAACATGAAATCAGCCAGCTAATGCCCATGCATGGAAGACAAGTGGCCACTTGTCACGGCTAAAAACAACATCAACAACAAATTAAAAAAAATACAACGAGAGAGAGAGAGAGGATTTCATTTGCAACCTTCAATTCTCTCTCTTTAATTCTTCTCACGCTAAGTTCTCTCCTCTCTTCAACTTAAAGGCTGTCGGAGAAGAGGGCCCTCTGGCGGCCGATGGTGGTTTCCACCTTCTTCTCTAGTGAGACCTCATCGGATCACCCCCAAACTAACATGACACCCCCTAGAAAAGACACATCATTCTGATAACACTAAAACACACTGCGTATTTGGCTCAGATTGCACATGTTTATTATCATTTATTTGTCATTTTTTCTTGCATTATGCTTGTGTTTTGTCTTGTTTCAGGTACATTGCCTAATAAGAGCCTTCCACGAAGAAATGGAGCGAAAAAGAGCAGAAAATGGAGTTTCGGGTGAAAATTACACACACGGCGTTCCACATGGCGTTGGCCATGGGGGTAGCCATAACGTGTAAGGTTTCTCCCACGTTCTAACCACCACTTGACCATGTCCATCATCATTTATATACATGGCGGACGCCATATGTGTATTTAGTGGTCTGGTCAAGGACGGTTAGAGCATGACACCATGACCGGAGATTTTTCCTCCCCATGATTCCGGAAGAAGTTACGTAATGTCCAAGGAAATGTTACACTATAAATAGGACCTAGATCTATAGTTTTATGCACCCAGTCTTAGTTCGCAGCGTAGGCATATATTCAAATTTAAAGCGATAAATCGTCACGTTGAAGGTTTATCGCACCATTGTTATAACTAGAGTTGGAGCATCGTAGCGTAGAACTTTAAGCTTGTCATCATTGTACGTTCAAACCAGATTTACTTTCCAGCATTGTACCAGATTCAAGTCTCCGATTTGGAGCAGGTTTATTTTATTCGCACTTATTTACTTTCCGTCTTGCTTTACTTTGTTTATTTTCCGCATGATTTATTTATCGCTCTTTATTTTCAAAGATCCGTTTCTAAGAAGAGAACCTAAGTGTGACACTTCGGTTCTTGTCTTTGGAAAGTGATTACACAATTACTTTCCGCTTTATTTACAAAGATCTGTTTCTAAGAGAGGACTTAAGCGTGACACTTTTGTTCCTACCTTTGGAGATTGATTATGTCTTTAATTATTGTTTTTATTTCGAAGATTTATTCTCTAAGAGTGGACTTAAGCGTGACAATTTTGTTCACACTTTTTGCGAATCAATCGTTGCCTTTATCTTTCTGCATGATTTATTTATTGCCTTTTATTTCTAAGATTCATTTTCTAAGATTAAACTTAAGCGTGACACTTGTGTTCTTCTGAAAGCTAATCACGCCTTTATTTACCACACGATTTAATTCTTGTCTTTTATTCCTAAGATTCGTTTTTTGAACTGAACCTAAGGGCGACACTTCTGTTCATTCGAGAACCAATCACGCACGTTTTATTTCCCTAAGTAATATATTCTACAAATTATTCATTATGTTTATTACCGTCATGTCCAGCTAAATTCATTATGCTGGGATGTGAGGATCGTCGCTTCGACGGTATTCCATAGGTTGTATTTGTAAGAACACTTTAGGGGATGTTTTGGATTTTAATGTAACTTTTTTGAACTTAAACTGATCGGCTATTACGTGAACGGGACCGTGTTTTTGTTTACGTAATAACCGTGACTAGTCAGGTAAGATCGAAAATCGTCTGACACTTTAGATAAGATTTGGTTAGTTTTTAATTGGTAAAAACAGCGAAAGCTCTTTATTAATTAATTAGGGAAGTTTGGTATTATTAGAAAGTGGTTTTAAAACTATTTGCGGACGCGTTTATAGATTTAGAGATCAAAACCATTTTCTTTAATGGATTCAAAATCCACAAAGTTCTCACACAGAACCTCAAGATCCTTGATTGGAGTGAGAAGTGTTCTCATTGGTTCCTTGTAAACAACAGCTGTTGGAGATGAAGCAGCAGCAGTTGGAGATGATGCAACAGCAGTTGAGGTTTGCATCTGAGCAGATGTTGAAGATGATGATGCCATTGATATTCTTGAGATGTGTCTGGGTTTACGAGAGGTTTTGGGTTTTGAAATGAGATGGAAACAATAGAGAAGACAGAAATGCATATGAGAAGTTTAAAGAGTGTAAAGTGTGATTTGTGAAGTGTTGTGAGAATATATAGAGCAATTTAGGGCATGCAAAAAGACACAAGATCTCACGCGTACACATAAGCATTGAATGAAGTGAAACATAATCATATCAAGCAATTAATGCAAAGAATAAAATCATATCAAGCATTTAAGATTCTGACAGAAGGGGGGAAAATCAAGAGATTTTGGATTTTCAAAGCAATACCTCAAACGTCAATTCAGTATGGTGCACTCTACCTTTCCAGATTCTGAGCTACACGTGTTTGCTTGCTTGTGCCTCTGAAACTCTTTGAGAAATGAAACGTTTGGCAACGTTCAGATCCTCTGAGTCTTGTTAGTTCAGATTTACACACAAATAAATAAACACAGAATTAAAAAGAAGAATTACTTCAGAGTTTAGACATTTATCATCTGAGAAAAAATTTCATCTGATGAATATTTTATTCTGGACAGAAGTCCATACTTATATTTTTCAGAATAAATTTAAATCTATCTTCAGCGAGGGGTTTTGTAAAGATATCAGCTCACTAATGATCTGTATCCATAAAGTTTAAATTGATAATTCTCTTCTGAACATAGTCTCTGATTAAATGATGTTTAATCTCTATATGCTTAGCTTTAGAGTGTAAAATGGGGATTTTAGATAAGCATATAGCAGAAGTATTATCACAGAAGATAGAAATGTTACTCTCAAAAATCTGATAATCTTCCAGCTGACTTTTCATCTAGAGCATCTGGGTGCTACAACTAGCAGCAGCAATATATTCAGCCTCTGTTGTTGAAAGTGCAATTGTGGGTTTCTTCTTGCTAAAC